TCATACAAAAAATGTTTGATATTATTCATACAACCAATCAACTGTGGAAGTACGGTAATAAATATTAGTTCATTTTTAGCCTAAAGTGTTTAATTAATACAGGGGTGTAAAATTTAGTTCATGGAGTGCCGCAGCTCTGAACAATTTAGTTTTAACCCGTTAACAAGGGTTGAAACTAAAATCTGCAGTGTTGCGGCCCTCCAAGAATTGAGTTGGATGACACTATGCAGTTTTTTGACCTTAAAATAATGTCTCCAAAATCATTTCAGCAGTAACAACAACAACTCTGAATTAGATTAATTTTACTGTCCCTGCAACCAGAGCAGTGTCCTTAAACCTTTCATGCAACTGTGCATGATGCGGGTCAGTACACACAGCCCAGCCCTTGCCAGTGGAAGTGTGCGATCTGCTTTATGGCAAACACTGTATATTTTCATCATAGCCTGGTGAGTTAGCCAACAGATAACTTTAAGACGAAAACAATTTAATATGCAAGTCCCAAAGCCAATGCCACTGCAGAGCCAGCAAAGAAACCAAAGACAGTTTTGTCAGAGGAAGTGGAGAAAAGAAAGAAGGAAAATGACTGGACATGAGCCCAAACATGAATCAGCATCAGACGATTGAACGGTTATTCAAATAAAGAGCCTCTGCCACTTTACAGCCTTATAAACGCATGACAGTTCTTGATGTATAGGCTATGGATTATATAGGCTATTTCTGTGCAGATGTTTGTAAAAAAAATAGAGGATTTATGTGGAATGATCTCTTAACACATCAAATAAAATAACTTTTATTTAAGGTTTACAAAGCAAATCCAATTAGAACTATTAGTTTGGAAACCAAAAGTTCAGAAGCTCTCATGCAGTGCACCCATTAAAAATGTATTAGTATTAAAATATTGAACTAAAATGATTACTTTAAAAGTTGTTTTGTATTTTAATCATCTAAAAAATTGCTCATCATTTAATATTAATACTGACATTTAAATTTAACGGAATAAATATGTATTTACAGTATTTTAAAAAGTAAATAAATAAATAAAATTATGAGCTTATAAATTCTTTAAGATTTCATGTGGGCCTAGCTATAGGCTAGGTAGGACATCCTGTGTAACATGGGCAACTTTACCTGGTTTCCAAATAAAGTTTCTATGTTTTTTAATTTGGTTAACAAATTCATGTGTGTTGCGCTGGCCACTGGAAGCTTATTCAGCAACAGTATTGCCAATGTTGTTAGCAGACAAAAGTGTTTATCCACAAGAGGGAGCATTGAGCAAAAAATGTTACATAGTGTTGAAGGGGACCCATTATGCAAAAATCCTTTTCATAATTTTTTTAAACAGTTGTTTGTCGACAGTGTGTGAATATAACCAGCCTCTGATAGTAAAAATTAATAATTCATTCATTTTCCTTCGGCTTAGTCCCTATTTCAGAGGTCGCCATAACAAAATGAACCGGCAACTTTTCCAGATTATGTTTTGTGCAACAGATGCCCTTGAATTTAAACCGAACGGCAAAATTTGCATTAAAGCCAAAGGGGCAGTTCAATAAATTATTTGAGATGTATTTTAAACTTAAACTTAACATACACACTTAGGGCAATGGTCTCAAACTCAATTTATGGAGGGCAGCATCTTTGTATAGTTTAGCTCCAACCTCTTCCAAATCACACGTGCTTAATAGATCAAGTCTTAAGCCCCGTTTACACTAGTGCGTTTTAGTTTTAAAACGGCGTTTCAGAATGGTAACGATCGGCGTCCACACTAGCATTTCACCCAGCATTTCTTAACAGCTCTCCGTCCACACCAAAATGCTGAAAACGCACATCACGTGACCACAAACACACTCTCGGGCCAGTGCTGCAGCCCATCTACCCAGATGAGAGCTCTGCTCATCGGACTGCACATCTCCCGCTGGATCTAATCTCACTATATTCATTAAACGTTGTATTTCATTCATCATGGTGTCTATATCTAACGACATATTCCCCGACTTTGATCATTGGAATCTATTACTTGTTCTCAGGTAACGTGTTTTGGCCGAGCGCAAAGATAGGTTAATAATTAATGGAACCACGTACATTCTGTATATTGACTGATCGCTTGCCTTTATTTACTATAATGTATAGACTTATTTTATGTTATACTTTTATAATAGCCATTATCGATTATTAAAACTGATATTCACCAAAGAGGGTATGTTTCGCATTTTCACTGAAATTGAAAGGAGGCAGTTGTTATAGGCTTCGTTTTGTTATAAATATCCACACAACGAAGATGACGCTCATAAATGCAGCTCAACGCCTCAACATTTCTGCTGTCTGTTAAGTTGCTAATATCAAAATGAAAATAGGCAGTTCCATCATGCTTTTATTTTATTGTTGAGAAAGTGAAACAACGTCGCCAGGGTGATGTGAATGAAGTTATAAAGTGTACTGTTCCCTTTGAAGATTTACCCGGTCCTCGGTAGTCTGTTTTCCATATCAAACTGAGGTGGGGGAGACTGCAGCCTTGATCAAACTTGCGAAGTCTGAACATACAAGGAGAGGATGCAGAACTGAACTGTGTGTGGGCTACTTGATATTGAGGAAAAGCCCCAATCAGAGAGGCGAATGTCTGCAGCCCCTCCTCCGTTTTCAGATGTCTCCGTTTTCCCCCATCCACACTGAGACGGAGCAGCAGCATTTTAGGATGAAAACAGCCTCTTCAGCGTTTCCGAAACGCTCCGTTTTCGGGGCTCGAAAACTCCGGCGTAGTGTGGACGAATGGCGTAACCGTAGCAAAACTTTTGCGTTTTAAAATGAAAACGCATTAGTGTAAACGGGGCCTTAGTAGTCTAGCTCACCTTTGTTAGTTGGATCAGCTGTATTTGATTAGGGTTGGGGCAAAACTTTGCTTTCCAAACCCTCCAGGAATCAAGTTTGAGACCTATGCTCTAGGGCATGTCTGCCAACACTCCTATTGTTTCTGTATTTCGCACCCATCTCCCGCCACCCTCCCGTTTTGTTATTTCTCCCGGAAAACTCCCATAATTTCACCCTACCCCCCAGGTCCTCCAGGTCATCTTTCTGTAAAAGTCTCCATTAACAGTCTCTCAGTTGTCAACTTTCGTATAGTATCCCATCACCACCTCTGCACAAAACCCAGTCCATGGTACCATAGTACAATTATTTTTACTTCTGGATCAAGCGCACCTGTATGCTCTGGCACAGCCTTCACGTGGTCGCAAAGCCCTCGCCATGGCTGATGCCGACGCGCACCTCCTAAAAAATGTAACTACCCCTTGCAACGACACGTAGAGCAAGCTCTGTGATTAGTCGGCTTGGTAGTGCGTGGAGCGCGGGCAGGACCAAAAGCCGTGTGAACCCATTGGAGCAAGTGTTTACAAGTGTGGAGAACTTGTGAAGGAGCTGCAGGTGGAAACTTTTTTTTTGTGTTTACCTTATGATTAAAGTTGTTTTACGTCCACCGGTTCCCGCCACTGAATGAGCTAGTTTTAGCTACTTGTGCATTAAGGTAGCGTTCAGAAAAAACAAAACACCATCGAAGAAACTTAACACAGGAACATAAAACCCCCACTGCCAGCTAGCATTTCGGAAGTGTTATTGCAGAGCAAATGCATGGCAACGCACAAGGCAGGTATAGTGGGTCACGGCAATCACTCAACGCAGAAGTACAGAATAAACCAGCCTTTAGGGTACTAACACCAACACACATACACCCCCAAACCTCCAACCCTGTTCTTTATTTATTTAAATTTTTTAATGGAGTCTCTGTGAAAAATAAAGTTTTTTTGCAACCTTTATTTTTGGGCCAATTACTATCATCCAGTAGAGTATTAGACTGACTGCTTAATGTCTGCTAACACTATTGTTATGGTCCCTCAACAGACTATTCTGACCATAGTGACTACTGACTAAAGCAACTTTAAAATACTTTATTCTAGCAGCCATATCCTACAGTCTAATTATATTCAATTAACGCTTTAATGATAGGTAATTGACACTAAGATGCAAAGTTACTTAGTCAACAGAATGCAATTAGAACAGTGACTGCAATTAGAGAGCAAACAAGGCCAAAGAGTTTACTTGTGTTCTCTAGACTAAACAAAAGTAGAGGCTGAAAGGAAAATGTCACACATTCAAAAATATAGTTAAACCGGCACATCAGTAAATACCCCATAGACGTGCAGGACATACTGTATATTAAAACAGTTAAAAAGCCAGCAGGCTAAAAGCAATTTTTCTTATAAAACTAATAAAAAGCCCACTCATGCTTAACATTCCACAGTAAAGATTAATGCCAGAAACCTTCCAAAGAAAGCACACGCATCCTGATAAACGGATGAATTTAGGTTGAGACATAACTATTAAATCATTTCTGTCACATTCCAGCGTTGCCGTCAGACAACGAAACGGCAAACCATTCAGATTCCAGAAGGGACCATAAATCATGGATGTAATCTCGAAACGGTTTCCTTAACCAGCTCAAAACATGTCAATTCTGCGATCAAATCTGGAAACAAGCTGCCTTTTCATTCGTTCCACTGGAAAGTACAATAGATGCATTTTCAAGCTTCAAAACTCTTACGAGGGCTTAGTTTTACCTAAGAGTAGGTTCATTACATGTTTGTTGTGGATCAAGCTTGGTTTTTGGGTGCTCTGGGGACGTGGACGCTGGCTGGGAGTAGCTCACATTCACATTAAACACAGTAAATCTCAGCGGGACACTCACTTCACCACTAATGATGTGCTATCAGACACAAGTAGGTCAGCAAAGGCATCTACTCAGTTTTTGTACTTTCTCACAACAATGCATTACATATCCTCTCCTGATGATGATGTAGAAACCACTAATTAAGTAAAGGAACAAAAATGATTGCAGCCTTTCAGACAATGACTGGCTTAGTTTTGCTTGAAAACAGAAAATGGTCCGAGAGAATTCCAGTCATTTCAATTCCTCAGAGTTGTAAACTAACAAAGTAAGATGAAGGGTCACATACCCTTCTTCTTTTCTTTTTTGGAGGGCGTCTTAAAAGGTGGCTGCTCGACCGGAGGTGTGCTGGTTTCCACTTCTGCAGACATGTTTGGAGGCCAGCCTTGTGCGCATGCAGCGGGTGTGAAGACGGAATCAGTTCAGGATCAGCACTCTCTCACTCTCTCCTCTGTGCAGCTGGACTCAGCAGTGAACCATCATCAGCTGTGCCTGCGCTGGACAGGAAACAGACGGAAAGAGAAAGCAAAACAGGAAATAGATTTAGCAGAAGTTGACGAATGCAAATCGAAGACTGTCTCTGCAGCAAATGTGTTTGTAAATTCATAGAATTCATTCATTTTCTTTTCAGCTTAGTCGCTTTATTAATCAGGGGCACCACAGTGGAATGAACCGCCAACTTATCCAGCATATGTTTTACTCAGCAGATGCCCTTCCAGCCGCAACCCAACACTGGGAAACAACCATACACTCATGCATTCAAACATTCACATTCAAACTACTGCCAATTTAGTTAATTGAATTCATGTCTTTGTCCTGTGGGGGGAAACTGGATCACCCGGAGGAAACCCACGCCAACACAGGGAGAACATGCAAAATCCACACAGAAATGCCAACTGACCCAACCGGGGCTCGAACCAGTGACCTCCTCGCTGTGAGGCGATTGTGCAACCCACTGCACCACCGTGCATATAGTACATGCATATTTGTTATTACATTTTCAGGTATGTTGAGACCTGTACCTACATATATCTCAGACACAGGTGTATCTCTAACTTCTTATATAGCATAAGACTTACCTGATATTTTAATAACAATAACAAAAAACCTAAATGAAGCATATTTCATTAGAACTTGAATTTCAGAAGTGTTTAATTCAAGTAGATAACTTTAGCATCACTTTTAAAGCTCATTTACAAGGTAAATTCAGCATCTGCATGTGTTCAACTGAACTTTTTGACTGACCAGGTAGTTATTATATTTGCACAGTAAAAATAAGCTTTTAAAAATATTTAATATATCTCTTACATATGTTTAGAACGTTACACCTTCCCCCTATACTTTTTAAAAGATTTAAAACTGATATAAACATGTAAAGCTTGTAGTTTGTCACTTCCTTCTAAATGGGCCAACCATTTATTCAAATCAACTCATACTTGAGTTTCCCAAATCTTTTGACCAATCATATCTTTTCTAGTATCTGATATGCCACACCCTCTTCAAGACGGTTCTCATTTGCTTTTCATTTGATGGACCTGAGCTCAACCGCTCTTACTAGCAAAGTGGTGATGAAAAAAAAAAAAAAACGCTTTTGGCTGTATTTTAAAAAGGGGATGAGCTACAGTATGTCCCTAAACTATGTGTGATTACGTCAAACATCGAATAAAAATGCACATTTCAAAGCACTTCACAGGACCTTTCAGAAAAATTATTAGAAGCTAAAGTAAATAGAAGATTGAGGAACAATAAGCAATAATAATTGTTTATGCTTTGTGACTTTATTAACTAAAACTAAACTTAACTAAAAACTTTTTCTAAACATTAAAAAAGGTTAATAAATGGTTTAACATATATTGCTCATAGCAATATTGCTTCATTTAGTCAACTTTCACTTGGTCCAAACCAGTATGACTTTCTTTCTTTTGTTGTTAAATATTCTAAAGAAACCTAGCCACTGACATCTAAAGTATTTTTTTATTCTATGGAAGTCAATGGTTACAGATTTTCATCTTTCATTAAAATATATATTTTTGTGTTAAACAGAATGAATAAACTCATAAAGGTTTGAAACCATCTAAGTGAGAATAAATAGCATAATAGTGTAGTATAAATGTTCATTTCTGGGTGAACTACCTCAATGAGAACTATCAAATGAGACCTATTTGTAAAGTTTCACAGTTGTATTTAATAGAACAGTGGTTCCCAAAGTGAACCTTGGTGAGTCGCTTGGTGATTTCCAAAAACTTCTAATGTTAAACTATTAGAATTACCATATTTTATCTATACACAGAAGATAAATAAAATAGTATAAAATAGTATTTAATAGTTAAATTAAAAAACAACATGCAAATAAAAAGTCAGTTAATATTAAACTAAACAAGTAAATAATGACTTTAAAATTGATATATTATAACCACCTCCAAGGACAGTGAGGGTCGCGAGTCACTGGAATTGTTGTTTTCGGGCTCGCAGGCTGAAAAGTTTGGGAACCCCTGCAATAGAAGACCATTCCATTTTTTTTTTTTTTTTTTTTACATGTAAATGTTTTTTCCATTTATTATATTTCCAGAATGCATTTCCCCAAGTAACCTAATTATGATTCAACCTTAAATTTTGACCACATACAGTATGTTAAACAGTAACACACCAACAAATGGCTTTCCCATTTATTTTAGTCACAGTCTGCAGCATAGGGACAATTAATATGGCACGACAGCACAATAACTGTTGACAGATTCCAGGTCAGATGTTGATGTACAATTGTTTGGAGCAAGGTGATAACCGGCTCATTCCAGTGGACTAAATAAACCCACATCCAATGCTATAAATCAAAGTGGCTGTGCTTAAACAGAAGCTGAATAAACATCCTGGACCTTGGAGTATTTTGCAGTGGTGACTGCATTGTTGAGCCATAAACACGCTCCACTCGCTGCCTTTAACAGCACACGTGACATTCATGTTTAGAGTTAATACAGATAACCGGCTCTCCTCAAGACTTATCTGAAGTGATAGGTCACCGAGGCATTTTGTACTCTCCGACCTGTCCTTTCTTGGTGTATCTATTACAGGACCACAGTACTTTGCTTCTATCTCCTGCTGTCTCTGTGCTGCAATTATCCTGCCCTGCACCCAAAGACAGGAAGCCAGCGCTTCCCTTCCATCTGGGATCTATTCATTCTCCACCTTCTTCATACCACAGGCCAGCTATTTTTGCACATTTGTTTTCAATAAAAAATAAAAAAAACACTCTTACGTGAAAATATTTGGAATGTTTTTACCTTCATGCTTCCATTTACCTAAGCTACCTATAAATACATTCACATTCTCCAACTCTTGTTCCTGAAAATATCCTTCCTGTAGAACATTCAAAACAATGCTGACATTATGTTTCGGAATTACAAAACAACAAAGTTTTATCGTGAACTAAAACTACACTTAAAAAAATCACCTTTGTACTTTGTTACTACTTAAAATGAGTTAAAACATGATAAAAATCCATTTTTGTAAGCTGTCTGGAAGAACTGTGTGTAGGTATAGTGCGTCCACAGTCATACTGGAGTAACAGAAACACAAAAAGTTTTTTATTTTAATTTTCTGACGTTAGGATCCAAATCCTTCCCATTTTGAGTCCCACCGCAACGTGACGTATGAGCACCACAGCCCCATCGAAAATGAGTTTTACAAGTTTAAAGCGTTTTAAAACAGTGCATGTCTGTAATAAAGACAGTAACATGCCTACGTAATTCATCACCACAGCCGCAGAGTGTCACACTGTAAAAAATTGCAGGGCTGCACACAATTCATTCATGGTGTCCCAACACAAATTTAGTTAAGTTAACACTTTTAACAAATTTATGTGCAGTGAACTTAAAAAAAATCAGGTTGTTCCAATGAAATCTCAAGAATTGTGTTGTTTCAGCTAATTTTAAATAAGTAGTTTGAACAAGTAAAAAGAAAGATTTTTTGAGTGCAGTACAATTATTAAAGATTATTATTATAAAAAAAATATTCAGCTCAAATTTTCAATATACAAAAAAATATAATTAATGATCTGATGGCTATTTTGAGCTGAAACTTTACAGACACATCCTAGAAACACAAAAGACGAATAAATCTCGAAAAAAGGGGTAAAATAGGTCCCCTTAAAGTTCTTTTTGGGACAATTGTTTTAAGTTGAACCCACTTAAATTTGTAAAAACACTTAAGCGGACTTAATTAATCTTTGTTGGAATAACACAAAGGAATAGTGTGTAACACTGTTTTAATGTACAGTGTTCATTAAAAAAAATATGTTAGCGGCTTGTTTAAACCATTTGAAACAACTCAATTCTTGAGATATTTTTGGGACAACTTAAATGTTTTATGTTCATTCCACTTAAATTTGTTAGTTATTTGATTTGTGTTGGGACAACATTAATTAATTGTGTGAAACCCTGCATGGTTTAACAATGTACATTCATTATTTTTCTTTTCGCCTAAGTCCCTTTATTAATCCAGGGCCTCCACAGTGGTATGAACTGCCAACTTATCCAGCATATGTTTTACGCAGCGGATGCCCTTCCTGCTGCAACCCATCACTGGGAAACACCCATACACACTCATACACTACAGACAATCTAGCTTACCCAATTCACCTGTAGCGCATGTCTTTGGACTGTGGGTGAAACCAGAGCACCCAGAACTCCACACAGAAATGGCAACTGAACCATCTGGGGCTTGAACCAGCGACCTTCTTGCTGTGCTACCCACAATCTAGGCAAAATATTTTTGTGAAAAATAAAAAAAAATATTACATAATAAAACAATTACTGAACAAAATTTTGTTTCCCTGGCATTTATCTGAAATAATTTTGAATAACTGGGATCAATATCAACTAAGAAAAAACAAAAGGTACGTTTACATTTTATTGCTATTTTTAACGATTAATCAAAACCCTTTTTTTTTTTTGCATTTTGCCTGTTTGTTCACACAAAACATTTTATAGAAATCAGGATTTAAAAATACCAGTATGTTGGGTATTTAATTAAATGTAATTAAATGTAAAACTATCCATTCTAAATAGTAATAAAATAAGATCTAAAATTGCTTGTTTCAAGTTTTACTTTAGTATTAAAGTTACCCAGATAGTCATCTAAGGGCAAATATACGCCCACTTCAATGGTTAATACTGCCCACAACACATTGCCACGTTGGATGCAAATTTCATTCATTCATTCATTCATTCATTCATTCATTCATTCATTCATTCATTCATTCATTCATTCATTCATTCATTCATTCATTCATTCAGTTTCCTTCAGCTTAGTGCCTTCATTCATCAGGGCTCACCATGAATGAACTGCCAACTTATCCAGCCTATGTTTTACACAACGGATGTCCTTCCAGCTGAAACCCAGAACTGGGAAACATCCATACACATTCAGACACACTCATTCACTATGGCTCTTTGAGTTTAATCAATTCACCTGTATCGCATGTCTTTGGACTGTGGGGGAA